TGGGCTGCAACGGGGAGAAGAAGAAGAAGAGCAGAATCGGGCTGAGAAGAAAGAAAGAAAGAAGGAAAAAAATAAGCCATCCTTATCCAAAATTTCTACTCTTTAAGTCCCTCAAGTTTGGGAATTTTGGCTATTAAGCTCAAAACAATATTTTTCCACAATTTAATCCTTAACTTAATGCTAAAATATCACAAAATTCTGGGATGTTACACTTATACCTATTACTATTCAAGTCAAGAACATGTATGAGCAAATACTTGACCTATAGTCCTATACCTACCCATGATTACCCCTAAACAAAACAATCGAGCTAAACAACCCAAAGTGATTGGGCTGCAACGGTCACAGTTTAGATTAGGGCTGAGTATCAGGTACAAGTATATTTGATATTTGTAGGTACTTGGCTTGTTTGGGTGGGTATTTTATCTATATCTATGAAGAGACATTAAATATCGAGTATGAAAAATGCATACCTACTAAATATTGGATAAGTATTGGGTATGAGGGTCAATACCTATATACCTGACCTGTATCCCTAACCCATATACTTGACCTGTATACCTAATCCATATACCCGACCTATATATCTGATCCATATACCTGACTTATGTTCTAGTTTTATATGCTTAATTTGTAATATAATGTTATGAAATTAAAATGTTTATGTTTTTTTCTTTTCTTTTGGTAGTGAAGATTCAACTGAAAGAAAATTATATTGTTACAAAATATTTATATTATAATTATGTTGATTGGGTTCACATTATAATTGATTGATATAATTAGGTTACTTGATTTTGTACCATATAATATTCTCTTATACAAGCTTATAAATAAGCACCTTGTATAGTTAGTGAAATTAAGAAAGTTAAATACCCTTTTTCGTCCCTCTACTATAGGAAAAAACCCATTTTTAGTCCCTATACTGAAAAAATCTCCTTTTTAGTCCTTATTGTTTGAAATCCGACCCTTTTTAGTCCCTCCATTAAGTTTTGGCTGATGTGACAAGTTAATTAATGGAATTGTCTAATTTATTTTCTTTGTATAAATGACATGGAAAATATAAAAATAAAAAATATGATATGGCATTCCACGTAGAAATTAAAAATAACCTGTAATTTATAAAAACTAAAATTTCAAAATTACCCTTAACCCTTCTTGTTCATCATTCAATCCTTTCCCATGCAGACATCCCAAAACATCCCAAATCAAGAAAAAAACTGATACTAGATCAACAATTTCACATAATCAAAAGATCTAAACAAAAAAATGATAGCAACATAGCAACATAAATATGAGTTTTTGCAGAGAATTTCACATGATCAAAGATCTAAACAAGAAAATGATAGCAACATAACAACACAAATTTGGGTTTTCGCAGACAATTTCACATAATCACAAATCTAAACAAAAAAAAAAAAAATGATAGCAACACAAACATAGGCACCTTGGTTTGCGACGAACCTATTGATAGCAACACAACAACACGCACCTGGGTTCGCGAGGAACCCCGGATCCTGGGTTCATCGCGAACCTAGGATCTAATTTTCAAAAGGCAAAGAAAAAAAAAAAAAAAAAGGAAGGTCGGAGGAAAGAGAGGATGAGACAAAAGGGGGAAGAAGATGAGGGTAAATTAGTAATTAAAATCTCACAAAACAACCTTTAAAATATTTATAATGGTAATTATGTAATTAAATAATTGTTTAAGTTGTATTAGACAAAAAATTTTGCCATGTCATCAATTTTTACATATGGATTTTTCATGTAATTTAAGTAAAGAAAAAAAAAAGTTTTTCTGTTAATTAATCTGTCACATCAGCCAAAATTTAATGGAGAGACTAAAAAGAGGCTGAATTTCAAACAATAAAGACCAAAAAAGGGATTTTTTCAGTACAAGGACAAAAAAAAGGCTTTTTCCTATAGTAGAGGGACCAAAAAGTGTATTTAACCAATTAAGAAAAAAAGAGTTTTTTTTTTCATATATCTTTATATTTTTCTTCTCTTTATATTTCCATATTTATTTTGTTATTTGTATATGTAAACTTGTATATGTGTGAGTGTCTATACTTATATATTTTATTTTATATATAAACTTGTATTGTATGTATGAACTTATAGTTGTATATTAACTTATGTATTTTTAGTATAAAATTTAATAAGTATACAAGTATACTTGTGGGTATACCTATACCCAACAAGTTAGATAATTGATATAAATTTTCAATATCTAAGTAAATATTAGGTATTAAAATCTTGTATTTTTCACTACTTGAGTCAAGTATAAGTATAAGCAAATACCTAACTCATACCTACCCATGCTCACCCCCGGTTCAAATTAGAAGGCTGTGATCCTTTTTTTAATGGGGTGTGTTGGGTTAGATTATTGGATTAGGTTTAGCCGCATAGCTCCTCCAGCCTCTATGGGAAGTTCGAGAAAAAACGGTTTAATTTAATGATATTATTTTGTAATCTAGTAAAATAAAACATGATTAAGTTTGGATTTTAAGAAGCCATTTGTATTTATTTGATATTTATTGAAGATTTTAAAAGGTTAGTTGAGTATTCATTTGAAATTTATTAAAAATTTTAACAATTTTTATAATATATATAAAGATTAGTGTGTATTAGTTCCAACTCTCAAAAAAAATTAGAATCTCAACTTATATTTAAAAATTGAAATCTTATCCTATTAAATATTGATATGATCTAGATTTGGAAACTCATTATATATTCTAATGAAATCCGAATCTAAACCTAAATATCAACATTTAATAAAATAATTTTTAAAATTTTAAATTAAATTTTAATTAAATAAAATGACATAGTTTAAAGTTGCAACTTTAATTATTTTTGGAGTCAAAA